AAACCTGAAAGTGCATACCTATGACTTGCTACAAATTGTTTTTCAATGAGTTTCTACAGAAGATAGCGTCTTCCCTTGTAATCAATGAAAAGTTGGCAAAAAAACTAGTACTTGTGATTTGTTCTTGTGACTTGTCACATGACGCAAAAAAGTCTCAACACTTCCTATTTTCAGATTAATTAAATCAACTTTTTTAATTTTCGAATCACGGTATGCGAAACTGCTGTTTCATACTTAAGGACCTTGTTAAATTCAAATATTTCACACCACCGTACATATTTATAGATAAATGCTTGAAGATAGTCCTAATACAGCTATTAAGACACTAAGTGTAGGTCTGTTACAAGACGATGGTATGGTTGTCCACATGGTTATGGATTTGAAACCCACACTATCATCATACATCCCATTACTCAATGTTCAATTTCATCATTCAGTTTCAGTAATGCAATTAATTGAATATAAATCCTTAGGTAAACCTTCAAAGGCTTATTTGGCGAACAGATTGACGAAGACTCAGTCATATCAGCAGTTACGGTGCGGGTCCATTGTGCATTTATTGATTCGTGGAGTTACGAAACGTTATTTTGATGTGTAATATAATTTCACGATTTACATCAATTTTCCACTTTAGTTCGACCCTTCCACGTTAAATGTTAGTTTCAAAAATCAATGTTTTTGATGATAGAAGATAGCTTATCTGCCAGACTCACTACTCCAAATCAACAGCCTTTAATAGTCCACTGCTGGACATAGAAAGGAGGTTTTGGCCTACTATACAACGCTGGCCAGACGGGTTGGTATAGGGTATGTGTCAAGTTTTCCTTCTCTTTGCAGGAACATAATGGATGTATATTTATCATTATTTAGTATAATTTTGTAGTATTTGAGAATAGCTTGTAGACAAAATGTTACAATTAAGAAAGTTACGATACATTATATGTATACGTGGCTCCTCAGACCATACATACGATTATCATTTTTCAAAGAAGCAGTCTTTTAGTTGATGCGCAATTTCTGCATCATTTAGTAGTAAGTATATTAAAGTAGTGTAAAGAATCAGTAATTAAAAATATGGCACATTTTAACTGGCTCCTCAAGTAAGATGCTTCGATAAATAGATTTGACTCCAATATGCTTATAGGTGGGCTTGATTGTGAGGAAATTTGGAACATAAAACATCTATATTTTCTATAAATTTAAACTAAATGTACGTATAATTCTATCATAAAAAGTACAGTATCTACGAACTTATTGACTATTCTTTATTTTCCTAACAATTTTTTGTGGGGTATCTATGAATAACTTTCGCCATTACTTTCATGGCAATTCACGCTCTTAAATATGGATTGAGGAGCCACATTAATAGTATTGTATATTCTTGAATATCAACAGTACTGAATTCAGATTTTTAGTAGGCCCTATACACAATTACTACTAAATGATACAAAATTTTTATTAAATACTTTTCGTGTTTCAGTTGGCTCCTCTTTTACATTGATATAACTTGTGATGTGTTCTACAAATTTCTGAATTTGTCAAAAAATATCTCCCTTTTTACTTTGATAAATAATGTGTGGCTCTGAATAGAACTAGTTTTAGTTACCTCCTATGCCTCATAAAATATTGTTTCAAGCTAAAAAAAGTATTCAAAATACAATCTCTGAACAAATTGTTAATATTGTCTGACGAGTAGGTAGGACGATTCTCTAGCTATCTTTTGCGATTTATCTAAAGCTTTTGATTGTGTTGATCAGGAAATTACAGCGCTATGGTATAAAAATAAAGCACTGGAACTTCTTGCTTCATATCTAAATAATATGATTTAGAAAGTTGATATTAATGGTGAGGGGTCTCCAGGCTCTGTGATAGAAATGGGCTTTCCACAAGGTTCTATTCTCGGCCCTTTTCTGTTTATTAGTATTATATACTCGTATTCACGACTTATACGTATACACTTAGTTTTTTTATCATTTAAAAGCAAATTGTTTACGTCTGTGAAATTAGTAAATGTCCGTTTAAGTCTAAAAAGTAGTGATGTATCATCTGCAAACAACACAATCTGGGATGGAATGGGGAATGGGGATGAAATTAGTTTCTTTCTTCATTGAGGCAGAATAATATACTGAACAGAACAGTAAAAAATATAACAAAATTAAATAATAAACAGAAAACACTATTCAAGAGATTTCTTGTCCTTGTAGTTAACAGTACCTTAATGATAACGAAACGTCGGGTCAGGTTAGGAAGAAGGTTCCCTACGAGGGCGTCTCCCCCCCGGGCTGGGTGTACTCTGCTACGCAGATGACACTTTAGTCACGGCCCGGGGGGCTAACTTCCAGGAGGCGGCGCGCCTGGCCGGCCACGTAAGTTTCACTGGTGGTCGGGCGCATTGAGGCGTTGAGTTTACGGGTGGCCCTGGATAAGACGGAGGCCCTACTATTCCATGGGCCCCGTTGTGATCCACCCACCGGCGCCTCAATCGAGGTAAGCTCGGTCCTTGTACCGGTCCGGGCCCAGATGAGGTACCTGGGTCTGGTCCTAGACGGTAGGTGGCTTGGTCCAAAGTTGGTGGACACTGCCTCCGCCCTAGGGCGACTTTTGCCCAATTTGGGCGGGGCCAGTGTTCCCACGAGGCGGCTGTACGCGGGGTTATCCGGTCCATGGCGCTGTATGGTGCACCGGTGTGGGTGGCGGCTCTGGCCGCCCCGAATAGGGCGCGCCTCTGACGGCCCCTGAGGATATTGGCGGTCAGAGCCATACGCGGATACCGCACGGTGTCCACCGAGGCGGCTTGCGCCTTGGCCGGAACACTCCCGTGGGATTTGGAGTATGGATATATAGGTCTCTCACTCTCACAACTTTACGATTTTATTAATTTTAAAAATATTAATTTATTTAAATTTGTTCCAGAAGTAAAGATAATCTTTACAAGAAACCAGAGCGACACGCTGACACACACCGCTCCAGATAAATAAGAATCTTTTGTTGACGAGGCCAACCGACGGTTGTTATGACTGTAGCTTTTCCTACTGTAAAGAAATCAGAAAACCAGAAAAATATACGTCCTCCTTTTTGACCTTGACAAAAGTGTGGCGGTTTCTGGGTATTGGTTAGAATCAGATTTTAGTTATCGAATAAATCAGAAGATACAAAACCAAAGCAACGGTCGGCGCCACATAATCGTGTATATATATATCTGATAATAATGTTTCTTCACAGGCTTTTGTGATCTTAGCCCTTTGCAATTTTAAGGTGACACTTGTTCAATCTATCTTCGGCATGCCTTTAATACAAAGCGGGTACGGGTATTAAATAGCTTACATTCCTAATGCAGCTGACTTTGGTGCAGAACATTTATAATTTACCAGCCAACATTTGATTGTTGCGACAAGAAATGAGGCCGGGATTTCCTGGTCAGGCGAAGTGGAGTGAATTTTCAATGTTTACAAAATTTGAAGTGAATTCGTGGGTAAATTACGAGGTCAACTCAGGAATGTTTTAGAATTATGTCAGAAGGAATTTTCAATTTTGTAAAGTGAATCGAAGTTTTCTGCTCTAAGAGATATGAGAAAATGCTTGTTTTAGGTAAAGATATTGTGTATCCATACAGATTGTCCTTGAAATACATTTCTTATTTGATGATCATCATTTATGAATAGTTAAGCAGCCATTGCGCCAACGATTAACTTGTCAGTTTCTGCATTGAGTACTATATGTAATAATTCTCACGTTGCGTATAGGAAGATAAAACCTTTCCGAAATCTTTACTAAGGAACCGGAGAAAGTGACTTTCAAGAGCTCTGTCTTCAAAACGCGTCCTTCTAACTCGACAAAAGACAGACAAACGAACTCTTGTAAGAGTTCTTGTACAGTAACTTGACAGATTAACTGAGAGCCCTTGCAATCCTCTCAACTATTGAAATCTTAATTTAATAATAAACAACACAAAGCCTTTAAGTTTACGAAACGCTTGTCGCGTTTCAGACGGATACTTAAATACATAATGCTAATTGATGTCCTGGGACACATTAACACCTCTATCTTAAGTAGAACTTGTGCCTCTTGTAGGTCCTAGAATAAGATGAACATACGTAACCTTGTTGTTAATTCATACTTGCACTAATTGAGTAGCTCCAAGCGAGTGTATAACTTGCTCTACTAAGATTAAACGCCCAAGTTAATCTCGAAATTTTGTTTTATTTTATTTGGGAACGTTATTTGAGCATTTAGATTACACATTTATCAGGTCATAAAAAAACGCGAATTTAGTAATGAATGATATGAATACTTATATGTTTATTACAATATATAATATATTATTATGAGGCGATATTTTCTCTTTAACCTATCTTAACAGAGGCTGATGAGAACATTGAGCGCTGACTGATCAGTGTAAAGATTTGTATGAATGTCATTTGTGTGTATGTTTATATTAGTTTGAGTTTTTGCTTTATTTTGTCATAAAGACAAGTTTTGAAAATGTAACTAAATGGTTTTCTTGACGTTAGAAACTTGCACCGCGTGAGAGCCATGCGTCGACCAAAATGTGCTGGCTCGACCAGAGTGATACCGTGGCCTCACAAAAATCAGTGTTAAGCAATTTTTTCGTTGTTTTTACCGAGTTAGTGAAATCCGCAAATCCCCTGATTCTTCTAGATCAAAGGGAGACAACACGCGTGTGACTTTTAAATTGCAGAAGGTTATGTCCTCCAAGCAGGCTCCTAACTTGTTTCCCTAAGATTAAACACCTATGCAATACATTAAATTTTGTTGTTAATTAAATACATACATCACATACATTTGAATTACTTTTTTAAAATTCAAGTCAGGTCATATAACCCGCCCCGCGTCGCTCCCGGTGCAAAGGTGCCCATGATACTGGCAGCATTGCCTCGCTGAATTGCAACGGACATCTTTTGCACCAGAAACGAGCTGAAGCGGAAGTCACCACACCTATGTATTTGTGACTTTATTTGAGCGGAGGCACGATACAACTTTTAGTGATTTAGTGATTGAACCCTTTCGCGATCCTCCATCAAAGCCTTAAATAATATATCGATCATGTATAATTTGTACACATTTGTATGTTTCTCCTTAGTCGGCACTTGTGTCATTATAATTGGTGGTGAATATTCTTCTGATTCTGGTTTTTTTTGTGGACCTATACGTTGTTGTGGAATAAAACATGGCCCTAAAATAGAAGAATAAAACTTATATTAAAAATAACTTTACACATCTCATGAGTTGATCCCAAATTAGACAGAGCCTATTGTAACCAGACTACTTATAAACATACTTATATATTTCTAAATTTATACATATTTTGGAAAAATTACATCCAGACACGACAAATGATTGTGCTCATCACATATTTATTTCTCCCACCCTAGCAGAAGCAGGCCGTGGTAGCGACGGGTTCGAATGGGAACATCGTGGTTCCCACATACGAGGGGGTCATCTACTAGCTGTATATGGCCCGGGGTCCAGCAGGGTAACTGGTATTTCCTTCCTTTCTAGAGTAGTTTTTGGTTGGTTTGAGTGCAACACAGCCATCGGTGGGTGGTATCCGAGGGCATTTCCGTACAAAAAATAGTGGTAATCGAACTCACTATCTCTGTCTTAGCTGTCGGTGCAGTGTCTGGGCATTAGTATTTTACGTGGATCTATAATACACTCACTCACTCACTCACTTTTAAAACTGAAATAATTTGGGCTCATTTTCTGAGAACGATAGGCGCTCTTACATATTCATCCAGCAGTCAGAGGCCAATTTTTTACAACAAAATGCTTTTCTTTCACGGGCAAAATGGTTGTGTCGATATCGGAAGCAAAGTGAAAAAAAACTGAACTGAATTAACACAAAGATGACAAAACAGAAAATGAAGAAGAGAAGAAATAATGATGGTTCTTATTCCATAACGTATGTTTTTACGTACGACGCGTTATTGAGGATAATAGGTGATTATCAGCATCTTGGTTACCATGTCCGCAGCGTAAGTCCTCTTCCTCTATAGTTTCTTTAACAGTAGCCTGATCACCGAAAACCTGAAATTAAAGACCGTTTTACAAATATAAACCAGATAACAATGAGGTACCAAGCGTCTACAATTTTATTTTTTAACTAGCTGAGACCCGCGGTATTACCCGCGTTTGGTGTTATAACCGCGGGCAACGCCGCGGGGCGAAGCTAGTCTAAAAAAGTAGCTTTATTTATTCCTTATGTCATCAGCTATCTGCCTGTGAAAGTCCCGTCGAAATCGGTCCAGCCGTTCCAGAGATTACCCGGAACAAACAGACAGACAGACAGACAAAAATTGAAAAAAAAATCGGTTGTCTGTAAAGTCGTTTTACTGACGATAGTTGAACGTGACAACGTCATAAGAAAATACTGATGGAATGGTTGCATTTTACGAAAACATGTAAATGTATTATTGTATAGCAGCTGTCCACGCGGACGCATCGCTCACTCAAGTAGGAGAGAGACAGATGTCAAACGCTGCCGAACGCGGAGGCCGATTGTGCCTCTTTGTCGCTTGTTCCGCGCTCTCGCTTGCACTTCAAGCCTTAAATGGAACGCCTCAGAGCGAGGTAACGCCGCATGAGTCATGTTTTTTCGTGCGTGCAGCCGGCTCCATCGAATTATAAGACGTTGTCACGTCAAAAAATATTTTGGCATATGTACCGTGTAAACATACATATGCATTTAGTAAAAAGCGGTTATTTTAATATTACAAACAGACACTCCAATTTTATTTATTTGTATAGATTAACTTACAATATTGAATAGCGCGATTATAATTATAACGAAACCTTTCATTGTTGCTTTCATCTTTTACATAAACTTTATAAAACAATATGCCAAATCAGAGGCGATGCTAATATCCAAAGTATGTAACAAAATTTTTATTGTATTTTTAATGAAGTGAACAAAGCAGTTAATTATTTATTACAACATTTATTTCCAATCTACTTTATGTCATTAATAGGCATAAGGCATTTGCGGTGTAATCATTTATTCATGGTCCTGAAGGTAGGTCAAGAATTTTCTCACACTAGAGAGTTCACTTTATGATTGTCTTATAGAAACACTTGGATGTGTTTCTGTATGTTCGTCCTTTTGTTGTTCGTCTGATAGCTTATTTAGGGATACCTGAATTCATAGGAATAATCTACATGCACAGAGAGAGAGCAATCAAAGAGATTGAGCAAACGCTCAGTTGGCGATTTAAAAGTTTCGTTGGAGAAAACTTCTCAGCGAAGAGCGACTTCGAGCCTTTCTATGAAGTTTATTTTTTGTGTTATATGGAGTAAACGAGTGACTTATTATCTGATGGTAAGTGATTACTACAGCCCTTGAACAAATGCAACTCAAGAGACAGAAGTAACTGAACTCTTTATTATTCAAGGGACAAAAAGCACATGCGAAGCGCACACACCGTATTATTTATAGATTTTGGTCTTTGCAGCTAATCTTAATACTGTTATTTATACATTAAGTGTATGTTACAAGAAAATGCTATCACATGTTTGCAGATTTGAATCTATGTTGTTTAGTTGTGATGTAACACGCTTCATATTGGAGTGTGTTGTGACTTAGAAAAGTCGTCTCTGTCCCTATCCTACGTCTTCGTAAGTATACTAATACGAAACACTTAACAACGAATGCAACCTACCACAAAAAACTTAACGCCATAGGTATGCAATCTCGAATAACCAAATCACTTATTCACCAATTCACCTTAACGATAAACGATTTTCATTGCTCTAACAGTTGCTCAAAATCCTAAGATATAATCCCTAAAGGTTATTTGTCAGATAGCCGCCTCCACTCAGGTTATAGCTCCGAAATCTTGCATCAATTCAATGTTGGATCACAATCTGTCGCCGGCATGCCTTTAATACAAAGCGACGGGTTCCAGATAGCTTACATTCCTAATGCAGCTGACTTTGGTGCAGAACATTGATAATTTACAAGCCAATATTTGATTGTTGCGACAAGAAATGACTACGGGATTTCCTGGTCAGGCGAAGTGAAGTGAATTTTCAATGTTTACGGTCTCTGGAGTGAATTTGTGGGTAAATTATGAGGTCCACTCGGGAATATGTTAGAATTATGTCAGAAGGAATTGCCAGTTTCGATTTTGTAAAGTGAATTGAAGTTTTCTGCTCTAAGAGATATGAGAAAATGCTTGTTTCATGTGTAGAAATATTGAAATTTGAGAGCATCCAGATATCACCCCCTATTCATCCTAAGAGTGTCGTAAGGGCCGACTAAGAGAGCAAACTACGCAGGACAATACCACTGCAAAGAGATGGAAAACTTGAATAATAATAATAATAATATTGTTTATGTAATTTAAAAACGTATTACAATATTCAATTACTTCTGCCAAACTGCACAGCAGTTTGTTGGCAGACGTAGCTCCCATTTATCATATTACACTTTTTATTATAATTTAACAATTACATTACCATATCCTTTTTACAAAAATAAAAAATAAAATAAAATTTAAAATAATCAAATAAATAACATGCAAAATTACAGTAACGATCATTTAATCAAATCAATTAAAATTACCTAGTGATTAGTTATTCTTATCAAAAATACTTAAGTAACATGACATAACAAACATGACAGGAACCCAAAGTATAGTCATAATAACTATACTTTAGGTTCCTGCCATGTTTTCACTGATCACATTTAGAAGAAACTTTGTTACTTTGTATTTAAACGACCGTTTTGAAGTACAAGCACTTTCTATGTCTGTAGGTAAACTGTTATATATAGTTGGTACTAAATATTTATTGCATCTTTGGCCATAATAATTATGGCAAATGGGCACCTCAAAAGTCCTACAATATTTTGCACCTCGAGGCCTTAGTTGCACAGCCCTGACTTTGTACTCTTGGTGGCAGTAATGATCTAATGCTACTAATAGCGCTACCTTCTCATGCACTGGCAGGATTTTACACTCGACAAACAATTCCTCATAGTTGGTTATTTTACACCGTAATTTTGTTTTATAGTTGTCTACTAACCTTTTCATAAATCTTGTTTGCAAGGCTTTAATCTTATCCAAGTACGTTTTAAACGTGCGTCCATAACATGCCAGTCCATAGGAAAGCAGCGAATCTACCAGCGCATAGTAAACAACAAACAAAGTAGCCCTGTCCAGTACGCCACTGAGGTGGTGGAATTTTACAAGGACAGATCGTAATTTATCACAAACTTTAGTAATGTGCGCTTTACAAGAAAAATTGGTGTCTATCACTAATCCTAAGTACCTGTACTCTCCCACCACCTCTATAGCCGCACACTCACACCGCGATCCACTGCTGTCGTACTCGCTATGCAGACATTCATAGCTGTGTCCTATAATGCGCGTCCTATAATGAAACAAACCCTATACTAACATGTCTGGCCAGCGTGGTATAGTAAGTCAAAACCTCCTTTCTAAGTAGAGGACTATGTCCAGCAGTGGACTATTAAAGGCTGTTAATGATAATCTATCCAGATTCTCCTTGAAATAAATTTCTTATTAGATTGTGATACTATTGAGCCATTGATTTTTTTTACTTTATTTCATAACTACTCGCCTCTATAACAGTATAGGAAGAAAAATCTTTCCGAAATCTTTACTAAACTATCGAAGAATGTGACATCCAAGAGCTTTGGTTTCAAAACGCCTCCTCCTAACTCGACAGAAGATAGACAAACGAACCCTTGTAAAGGTTTAAACACTAACTTGACAGATTAACTGAGAGCCCTTCCTTAAACTTCTTTGATTACCCTCTCAGCTATTGAAGGGCTAAGTTTATAATAAACAACTCAAAGCTTTTAAGTTTACGAAACATTTGTCGCGTTTCAGACGGATACTTAAATACATAATGCTAATTGATATCCTGGAACACATTAACATCGCTATCTTAAGGAGAATTTGTGCCTCGTGTAGGTCTTAGAATAGGATAAACATACGTAGAACTTTTCGTAAATGCATACACATTATATATAAATAAACAAAGCACTGAAAATAAGGCAGGTGTAAGTGAGCGATTATTACTTGTCGGTTCTTCATCCATCGTAGATGTAGGAAATAATACTGTGTATGCACGCAACTGTTATAATTACATCGAGTTAATACGAAATCACACTTAAATATTCACTCGAGGCTCAGATGTAATCGGATTACTTTACTTACTCGGAACGTGCGAAGTAGAAGGATATATATGTTTGCCCAAAAGTACCCGTTGATCGCCTACTGTTCATATGACAGCAAGCTGTCAACCGCTGTGTTGCCAATTACCCCATCTAAATACGCCCAAATTGATTAAACTTGACGTTCCGTTCCACGTTAACCGACATATTATATATATTCTTTTTCTCTATGTAACCCCCTGGTAAGTGACTACCGGCGCCCATGAATACCGTAACTCAAGAGACACAAGTGTGTTGCCATCCGGGGACGGGGATGACTATTCTAAGTCATGTAACACACTCCAATATGGAGCGTGTTACGAGTTCATGACAACGAAACAACATGGATTCAAACCTGTAAACATGTGATAGCATTTTCTTGTAACATACACTTAAGGTATAAACAACAGTATTTAGGTTAGCAACAGCCTTTAATAGTCCTCCTCTGCTGGACATAGGCCTCTCCTCAGAAAGGAGGTTCTGACCTACTATACCACGCTGGCCAGACGGGTTGGTATAGGGTTTGTATCAAGTTTTCCTTCTTTTTGCAGGTATTTAGGTTATGTGCAAAGCTTCTGATCTATAAATAATACGGTGTACGCGCTTCGCATGTGCTTTTTGTCCCTTGAATAATAAAGAGGTCAGTTAATTCAGCCTCTTGAGTTGCAGGTGTTCAAGGGCTGTGGTAGTCACTTACCATCAGATAATCAGTCACTCGTTAACTCCATATAACACAAAAAATAAACTTCATAGAAAGGCTCGAAGTCGCTCTTCGCTGAGAAGTTTTCTCCGACGAAACTTTTCAATCATCAACTGAGCGTATACTCAATCAAAGAGTACATGTAGATTATTCCAATGAATTCAGGTATCCCCAAATTAGGACAAACGAACAACAAAAGGACGAACATACAGAAGAATATCCAAATGTTTTTATAAGACAATCATAAAGTAAACTCTCTGGTGTGAGAAAACCCTTGACGACCACGAATAAATGATTACACCGCAAATGCCTCATCATCATCATCATCATCATCAACAGCCTTTAATAGTCCACTGCTGGACATAAGCCTCTCCTGAGAAAGGAGGTTTTGGCCTACTATACCACGCTGGCCAGACGGGTTGGTATAGGGTTTGTATCAAGTTTTCCTTCTTTTTGCAGGTATTTAGGTTATGTGCAAAGCTTCTGATCTATAAATAATACGGTGTACGCGCTTCGCATGTGCTTTTTGTCCCTTGAATAATAAAGAGGTCAGTTAATTCAGCCTCTTGAGTTGCAGGTGTTCAAGGGCTGTGGTAGTCACTTACCATCAGATAATCGGTCACTCGTTAACTCCATATAACACAAAAAATAAACTTCATAGAAAGGCTCGAAGTCGCTCTTCGCTGAGAAGTTTTCTCCGACGAAACTTTTCAATCATCAACTGAGCGTATACTCAATCAAAGAGTACATGTAGATTATTCCAATGAATTCAGGTATCCCCAAATTAGGACAAACGAACAACAAAAGGACGAACATACAGAAGAATATCTAAATGTTTTTATAAGACAATCATAAAGTAAACTCTCTGGTGTGAGAAAACCCTTGACGACCACGAATAAATGATTACACCGCAAATGCCTCATCATCATCATCATCATCATCATCAACAGCCTTTAATAATCCACTGCTGGACATAAGCCTCTCCTGAGAAAGGAGGTTTTGGCCTACTATACCACGCTGGCCAGACGGGTTGGTAAAGGGTTTGTGTCAAGTTTTCCTTCTCTCTGCAGTGCTGTTGTCCTGCTTAGTTTTTTCCCTTAGTCGGCTCTTACGACACCCACGGGATGAATAGGGGTTGTACGAGCAAACCCGCACATTTGTAGTAGTTAATGAAATAAGCTCGCGTTCACTCATTTGTATTGCACTCGTATTACATAGGTACTTACTTTACATACATAATTTTTGTACATAATTTAGTAGCAATAAAATCGTCATTTGCTAAAGTTGTCTACTCATTTATCAAACCAGCAATCTATCAGTAATGTTAGGGAAACTACCCCTACATTAATGGTCCTTCGAGTGTAACCGTAACACGGGACTATAACGCGAGTGTTCGATCAAGAATATATCGTGCGTCCGGTTACTGACTATCAGCGTACCTGTGGTCACTATCAGCGTCACTTCACGCTAAGAGCAGCCCCAGGAGTAAGCACAGCAGCACACGTACAGCCTGGCTTCCAGTCAGCAGTATTAAAGTAAGATCTTTCCTTTCTTTTCTGTACATCATGAGCCAAACAATGGAGGATCTTGCAGAAAACCAGAATCAAATAATGGTGGCCATGAACCAGTTCTTAGTTACTTTTAAGAAAACTGGGCATGAGCGTAGGACTCCAGACTATGTCAAGCGACGTCTAGAGACTTTAGATGCCTATTGGCAGGAATTTCAGATGAATCATGTTACTTTGAGCGGTTTTAAGGACGAATCTTTAGAGTATTTCGCTAAAAACCGCTATCAGCAAACAAAAGAATTTTATATATCTACTCACGAATACATAAAGCAAGCGACTACATCATCAGTTTTGAGACCCGCGACCCCTTTGGCTGGCACATCGGTCGGGGTGAGCGTGGAACAGCATACCAAGGATACGGCCGATACCGAAATTAAATCCTTACCCGCGGCTCCAATGTTTCGGTCTCAAGGTACAAATAGCAAACTGGATGACTGGATGAAGAAGCAAACCAGTAACTTTAAGGCTTTTTCACGCGCAATCAGAAACATAAACATAGATAGCATAAGAGAAAGGTGGGAGTTTCAGGATACATTAAAATCTTTAGAGGCGAGATGGTCTGCTATTGACTCCCTTCACTGGGAGTTAGATGGGGAGCTCGATGGTAAAGACCAGTCATACGAAGACGCTTATTCTGCCTATGAAACAGCTTTTAATTGCATGAAAAAGAAACTGAATAGCAAGTTGTGGTCAGTAGCACATAGGGATAAGTCAACCCCTAAGATGGATGTTCCTACATTTCAAGGCAATTATAATCATTGGGTTTCCTTTAAAGATTTATTCACGGAGACAATACATAACAACCCGTCGCTGTCGAATGCGCAGCGAATGCAATTTCTTAAAAGTAAAGTTAAGGGGGAGGCAGAAGCGTTGATACAACATTTACAGATTCATTTACAGATTAGTTCAGAAAATTACACTACTTGTTGGGAAATTCTGAACCATAGATATAATAACAAAAAGCGTATCTTTATGTCGCACCTAAGTATTCTGTGGAACCTTCCAGTCATGCAACAAGCATCCCTTAGCCATATCAAGCGCCTTCACGACACAACATACGAGTGTCTTAACGCGATCAAAAATCTAGGAGTAGATGTGAGCACGTGGGATCCCTTTCTTGTGTTCCTATTAACAAACAAGTTGGACCCTGAGACCCACGATGATTATTTAGGCTCTCTGAAACAACCACGTGAATTAACGATTTTATAGGACCTTTTAGACTTTTTGGAAAACAAATTCACGAACATGGAGTCCTCAAAGCGTAAACAGGAAACAAAATCTGTAAATTCTAACTCAAAATATTATTACATGAAAATCATTCCAATAACAATCAGAAGTTTCGTAACTTCAGACAAACATATTCAAGTAATAAAGTAGTTTCGCAATTAAATACTAAATCAAATTACAACAAAATCTGCCCATTATGCAAAAATGAACATGGTCTATAACATTGCGAAATGTTTATTGCGATGTCTCCAGTAAATAAAATACAATTTGTTAACAAGCACAAACTGTGCGAAAACTGCTTATACAATCATAACGGTAAGGCATGTTTTTCAACAAAACGTTGTCGTGAATGCACCGGATATCATAATACAATTTTACACGAAGCATTTACGCAATCCCCAACTAAGTCAAAAAATATTGCTCTAGCAAAATATGATACCGCACGTGTATCCGCTGATCAAGCACATCAAGTTAATTCGCACGTGGCACAAAAACGAGAAGTTCCAGAAATACTTTTATCGACAGCAGTAGTCAAGGTTCAAAAAATGGATGGGTCATACCTTACATTAAGAGCTCTGATTGATCAGGGTTCACAAATTTCCCTCATAACAGAGAATGCAGCACAACTATTATCATTACCGCGACAAAAATGTAACAATGTGATAACGGGTATCGGAGACAAAAATAATGCTTGCAAAGGAGTTGTTACCATAAACTGTACTTCCCGGAATGATTCTTACACTTTCAATACAAATGTTTTCATTATGAAAAACTTGACAAAAAGTTTACCGACTCACAGTTTCGCTAAGCCAACATGGGCATACTTAGACAATATATTCCTTGCCGATATAGATTTTAACATCAGCAGCCCTATTGATTTATTATTTGGCGCTGACATATATTCGAATATAATTATGGATGGCATATGCCGACTAGACAACACCATTCCCGTTGCTCAACAAACGCAGCTGGGGTGGATATTGTGTGGACATGTGAACAAAACTTTACAATGTAACGTTATACAGGTTCACACTGATCAGTTACGTAGATTTTGGGAAACCGAAGAAATATCCGAATCTACGTCTCTTTCTTCGGATGATGAAAGATGTATACAATTTTACAAGTCTTCCACGCGCCGATTGCAAGACGGAAGATACGAAGTAAGGCTCCCTCTTAAAACGGGCATTGAGGAACAGTTGGGTAAATCAAAGTCGAAAGCTATTGCCCAATTTAGCCACTTGGAACGAAAATTTGCAACAAATCAAAATATCGCCTTTGAATATAATAAAATTTATAAACGAGTACTTAGCGTTAGATCATATGACACGAGCTTTAAGTAACACGAAACTCGAATGTTTCTTACCGCATCATTGTGTACTGCGTGACTCAACAACAACGTCATTAAGAGTAGTATTCAATGCGTCATCAAAAACAACAAGTGGCCAAAGTTTGAATGATCTAATGTATAAGGGCCCAAATTTACAGCAAGACCTTCAGTTCCTTATACTAAAATGGAGACAATTTCAATTTGCTTTTACGGCAGACATCGAAAAGATGTTTCGCGGAATTTTAGTACATCCAGATGATCAGGCCTTACAGAAGATCGTGTGGAGGGAGAGCCCCACAGATATACTACAGGACTATCAATTAAAAACTGTCACATATGGCACGAAAGCAGCTCCATTTCTCGCTATGATGACTTTGAGACAGTTGGCTAGCGATGAAAGGAGCAAGTATCCAGAAGCAGCAAAGGTCCTAGAAGAGTCATTTTATATGGATGACTTGGTCCATGGGGCCCACAACATAGCCACAGCTTATCAATTACAACAGGATTTAATTACATTATTAAAGAGTGGTGGTTTCAACTTACGGAAGTGGGCTTCAAACGAGGCTCAGTTGTTACATGATGAGACATTACAACAGGAATCAATAACTTTTAAACAACCGGAGTCCACAAAAACTTTAGGACTTCGCTGGAATCCGTCACAAGATAATTTCACATTTAATTTCAAAATAAAACCAATAGTCAGCAAAGTTACAAAACGGTCCGTGTTATCTGAGATATCTCAGTTCTTTGACCCCTTAGGATGGCTTACACTTGTTACCACTAAACTTAAAATTCTATTTCAAAGAATTTGGGTATCGAATACGATGAATGGATCAAAATAAAATCAGAGATAGAACAAATCAATCACGTTCGATTACCGAGATGGCTAGGAACCAAACCAACCTACAAAATAGAGCTACATGGCTTTTGTGACTCGTCTACAAAGGCATATGCCTGTGTTATCTATTGTAAAGTTTACAACGACCAGTCAAACATTACTCTTGTCGCAGGAAAATCAAGAATAGTGCCGTCTAGTAAGAAAATAACATTACCACGATTAGAGCTTTGTGGAGCTCTTTTACTAGCGAATCTCATGGCTAAAGTTAAGTCATGTTTACAAGACTATAGAATTGACGTATACGGCTGGACCGACTCTACAGCCGTTCTAGGATGGCTCCAGGGAGAACCAGGCCGGTGGCAAACATTTGTCGCTAACAGAACAAGAGCAATCACAGAGACAATACCGTCTGCCTGCTGGCGACATGTGAAGTCTAGCGAAAACCCCGCTGACTGTGCAAGTAGAGGTTTACATATATCTCAATTAAATCAGCATCCCTTGTGGTGGCAAGGACCTTCGTGGTTGTTCACATTCAATAGCAATAACGAGGCGCAACAGCCTATTTACACAACCACAGAAGAATTAAAGAAACATAAACATATAAACAATGTTTTGATGCAAGATACCAGTAACAATATCATTACAAACTTATTGATACACTATAGCTCGTTAAATAAAATTGTGCACATACTAGCATGGATGTACCGTTTTATAACATATAAACAAAACAAATTGCGAGAGGAATATCTTACCGTAGAAGAAATCAGAAAAGCCAAATTATCGATTATCAAGCATGTGCAACAAGAAGAGTTTACAGAAGAGACGAGAAGTCTCAAGGAAAAAGGCAAGATAAGCAGTAAAAGTAAACTTCTAAATCTCAATCCCTATTTAGACAGTAAGGGTCTTTTACGTGTGGGAGGGAGATTACGACACGCTTACATCCATGCTGATATGCAGCATCCCATAATCATACCGCACAAAGGACGACTAACAGAGTTGATCATAGAAGAGGCTCACCGACTAACCTTTCATGGCGGTGCTCGATTAACGTTGGCGTTCATAAGACAAAAATATTGGATTGTGAGCGGTAACGACACCACTAAAAAACGGATACGTTTATGCTTAAAATGCAAAAAGATAAGTTCCCTTAAACAGCAACAGATCATGGGAGACTTACCCGAGGCAAGGTGTAATCCATCACGTCCGTTTGCCCACACTGGGGTAGACTTTACGGGACATATCCTGCTTAAAGCCAACAAGGGCCGTGGCATTAAGACAACCAAAGGTTACGTGGCCGTCTTCATTTGCCTGAGTACTAAAGCGGTACACTTAAAGCTAGCCTCAGACCTGAGTACCTCGACATTCATTGCAGCTTTAAGAAGAATGGCTGCTCGCAGAGGAACGCCTACTCACATATACAGTGACAACGGTAGGAACTTTGTCGGTGCAAACAAATTATTGCAAGCAGAATATCATGACCTACAGCAAATATTCAACAAGGATTTTTTTGCTGAAGTCACAGAAATGGAAATCAGTTGGCATTTTAACGCGCCAATCTGGCCCTCAGCAGGTGGCCTGTGGGAATCGGCCGTTAAAAGCTTTAAATATCATTTTAAAAGAGTGATTGGTGAACAAAAGTTAACGTACGAAGAGTTGTCAACGGTATTAGCCCAAATCGAAGCGTGCCTGAATTCTAGACCTCTGTGCCCACTAACTGAAGATCCACAAGATTTGGCATATCTGACACCGTCACACTTCTTGACTGGTGGATCAGCACTTACATTGGTTGAAACAGAAAGAGACTTGAGAACCAGATGGCAGCTGACTCAGAGAATTTTCAGTGACATTTGGAAACGATGGCGTTCTGAGTATCTAACACAATTAACAACACGTAGCAAATGGCGAAAGCCTCATGAAAATATCAAACTAAATGACGTAGTCCTTCTGCATGACGACAACCTACCACCGGGAAAATGGTCAATGGGTAGAGTGATAGAGCTGCATCCGGGTACAGACGGATATGTCCGGGTTGTTAGTCTAAAAACGAAAAACGGAGTACTCAAAAGACCCATCACAATATTATCAATTTTGCCAATTAACCCTTCCAAATCGGAGATATTTCAAAACGATAAAAAAGTTGTATCAGACACTACTCCTCCCCCACTCACAAGAGAAATATAAGAAGTTATAATATCGTATCACTGCTTACATCTTTAATATTTTTTTATGACTATCATATCAACTGTACAAAGCAGTTTTTATTTTACGAAATTTGGTCAAAAGCAAAGCCTTTATTTCGATAAATTATCCGATATGCAGATAATAAGGGACGATTAGAAATTAATTATTTACTACGACATGCAACCTTAGTGGGAGGGAATAAAATCTCTCAATAAATACTATACGTCTCTCGAACAAATGTGTAATACAATAAATCATACAATGAACAGCGATATTATATTACTACAATTGAATCAAGGTGTTGTTGAACTTGAATATTACAATCAGATGTTGCTCGGTCAGCATTCTAGCGCGCGACTGGACTCTCTGACCAGGCAGCGACGCGGTCTTGTAGACGGCGTAGGATATCTCGCTAACAGTCTGTTCGGCGTATTAGATAGATAAAAAGGATATCA